TGTTTTTTAAGGGCAGGACAGCTGTCAGCAACACATCCAATATCATCACACTGATTGGAGTCAAGGTTGGCTCACTCCTGGCTCCAATTAGCTCTGGGAGAAGTCATTAAGCTAGGGCCTCACATACATTTTCCTCCCTGCACTGTGAATGTTTACATGTTATGTGCAATTAAACCATGGCAACATCTAATGTTTGTGTAGTATTATGTTCAGCAGACTGTGTTATTCTATTGTGACTTAGATGACGTTCAGAGCACATTTTATGTCCAATTATTGCAAAACTCCACGTAATCCCAAGGGGTTCACATACTTTTTCTTGCAACTGTAGCTGCAAAGGGTGGGCCAACTCAATATTAAACCCTAAGGACTAAGGCTGGGATGCCATTAAAGTTCATGTGTGTGTAAAGGCAGGCGTCCCAATACTTTTGGCAGTATAGGGTACATAGAACAATTTTTGGGGAATAAACAATGGCTTGCTTGGACAGTATTGATGTACAATTGCATACCAAGTTATTTTATTTTCTATTTATGCTATAAGCAAAATAAAAAAAATATATGTTTGACCAGTGCTAGTCTTAAAGAAGCTGATGTTACAGTAGATAGAAGTAGAAATTTGATTCTGTAATTTGTTCCACATAGAATACACACTATGTAGAATGGCAAAATTATTTTCAAATTAAATGAAAAAAGACTTTCAGGACCCATTGCTTTGCCCTACGTGAAGAAAAAGTTCTCTTTAAGAATCCATGGACTGCATATACAGTACATCCTTGCCAATATCTTCCCTACCTCTGCTATTTTTTCAGGAGAAGTCACGTTTTTGTTTTTCCGAAACTCTGCGTTGATCCTTTGCCTTGCAGCTGAAGTAAAGACAAATTAGACTACTTATAGATATGCTAGAAAACAGTCATATACCAATTAGCATACAAACACTGTAGCTGAATTGTTCATATATTTAATTTACTTACCGTCTAATGCTCTAGTGTCATTCTGGAAAACTTGTTGTCTAGTTCTATGCAATGCTTTGAAAAGCCTCAGAGCCTACAAGTATACAGCAAAATAAAAACACGATATATTACAGTAAATGTCTAACCAAACTGGTATTTCAGGTAAAATCAGCCATAGGCTTCAAATATCTCCATTGGACAACAATGTAAGATAAATGTTCTTTCGCACAGGTATCTATTTAGCAATAGCAAAAGTAAGAACATAAAAAAAAAACAAAAAAAAAAAAAAAAAAAAAGTGTTAGGGCTTAGTATAGGGGTTATCAAAAGAAACTATTCAAGTCAGGGAATGGTAGGTTTCATGCTAATGCTAGCCAGACCTGGATGTGTGTCAGAGTGGGAAAGACTAATACAGTAAATAATAAACAAAAGCAATTTAATCATTGGATTAGAAAGCAACACTCACCTTGCATACAGCAATGAATTAATTTTAAGGTGGGCCCGAGCTGTTCTCAATTTATGGCCACCCCCTGGCAGATTAACTGAATCATGCATAAGAGTCAGTGTACACAGATGTCTGTATTTTGCTTCTGACATTGGTTTGTGAAATATTTTTGTATAATTTTGAATGATTTGAAGGATTTGAATTATAGTTTAACCATTTCAATACCGGGCAATTCTACACCTTCCTGCCCAGGCCATTTTTCACGTTTCAGCGCTCTCACACTTTGAATGACAATTGCGCGGTCATACAACATTGTACCCAAACTAAAATTTTATCGTTTTCTTCACACAACTAGAGCTTTCTTTTGGTGGTATTTAATCACTGCTGAGGTTTTTATTTTTTGCTAAATTAACAAAAAAAGACCAAAACTTTTGAAAAAAAAAAACAAAAACGTTTTTCTCTGTTATAAAAGTTTACAAATAAATAATTGTTCTTCATAAATTTAGGCCAAGATGTATTCTACTACATGTCTTTGGTGAAAATAACCCAAATTAGGATGTATTTTTTAGTTTGTAGGAAAGTTATAGAGTTCACAAACTATGGTATAGTCTGAAAATTGATCAATCCTGAAGTACTGACAGCCAATCTAATTTCTTGAGTCCAAGAATGTCAGAATAGTACAGATATCCCCAAATGACTACTTTTTGCAGAGTAGACAGTCCGACGTACTTCATAAGAGGAATGGCGAGTTTTTTGAAGTTGTATTTTTTTTTGTCATAATTTTTCGGAAAATGAAAAAATTAAAAAAATTACTTTCACTATTTTTTTTTTTTACATACTGTCACCAGTGCAGTAGCAGTACAGCGTCATCATATAACTGGCATGGTGGTGAACAGGGACACTGACTGGTGACAGTGTGAAAAAAAAAAAAATATATATTTTTTTTTTTATTTTTTTATTAATTTTAATTCTTTATTACATTTTTTTAAAGATTTTTTTTTCATATTTTACTATGACCAAAGTAGTACAATGTTACCATAATAACATTGTACTACTTTGGGGAAGTGATCAGTTTTTTTTTTTTTTTTTTACACAATTTGCTTATAGCAAAGAATTACTTTGCTATAAGCAAACATTTACCTGAATGACATCGATTCATTCAGGTTTTTTTTTTTTTTTTTTTGTGCTTAGCTGTGATTTGGCCACAGCTAATCACATGACATGTGCATGTGACCTGCTGTGACCATTCACAGCTAGGCACTAGTATACAATGGATGGCATGAATGAAGCCATCCATTGTATACAACTGTCATGTGACCTGCTGTGATTGGTAACAGCAGGTCACATGGTACCGGCAACGGGGGCCGGTACTCTGATCTGTCATCGGCCGTGTCCGAGGTACACGGCCGAAGACAGATCGCGCCGATGCGCAGCTCTGCAACCGCGCGAACTGCGCATGTGCGGGAGGATGCCAAATGGCGTGCACCCGGAAAGCTAGAGCATTTTTGCGGCGGCCGCCAAATGGCTATAGGCCAGGCGGCTAACGGTTAGGGTTCATGGACACAATTCCCCAGATGCCTAATGTCCTGGCAGAAGAAAAATACTTGACGCTGGTAAATATGTGTACTGTGTTTTACTACCTTTAGCGGCGTCAAGAGCTTGGGCGTTACTTCATTTCATTGGTCAGAATAATTTATTCTGGCCACTAATATGAAGTAACGCTCAAGCCCTAAATGCGCCTAGTATTACATAGTTAGTCTGGATGAATAAAGACAAAAGTCCATTTAGTTCAAACATAGAAAAAAAAAAAAAAGTTATAATCCTATACCCACAGTTGATCCAGAGGAAGGCAAAAAAAACCCAGCAAAGCATGATCCAATTTGCTCCTGCTGGGAAAATAATTCCTTCCTGATCCCCCGAGAGGCAATTGGATATTCCCTGGATCAACTTTACCTATAAATGTTAGTATCCAGTTATATTCTGTGTATCTAAGAAAGAATCCAGGCCTTTTTTGAAGCAATCCACTGAGCTGGCCAGAAGCAAGTCTTGAGGGAGTCTATTCCACATTTTCACAGCTCTCACTGTGAAGAAACCTTTCTGTATTTGGAGATTACATTTCTTTTCCTCCAGACATAAAGAGTGCCACTTGTCCTCTGTGATGACCTCAGAGTGAATAGCTCTACACCGAGTTCCCTATATGAACCACTGATGTATTTATACATGAATGCATGTTTAGACGTGTTTTTGCTGTGCCAAGTGTTTTTCCTGCCTCCTGAATGTGATTCTTCAGCATTCAGGAAAGGGGAATTTTATTGCATCTAAGCCTCCATTCACACCAATGTGATTTGACAATTAATGGAACTGTTCAAATCGGTGCGACTCCGACTTTGAGGTGCGGCACTGATTTTGAAAAAAGGTTCCTGCACTATTTTTGGCGATTTCATGTGTGATTTGCATAGAAATCTGTGCATGAAGTTGCATAGATGTCAGGCAAGCCGTGCATGAAATTGCGCTGACCAGCAGCTTTGAAATCTTACTACTTTAAGTGAACCAGCGCTAAACCCTGCTACATCTAAACTCTGGTAACAGCTTATTTGTGAAAATAGGTACGTATATACATCTTTCTTTTATAGGTTAGTCATCATAGGTGTTGGGGGAATACTTGTTAAACATTTCTCATATCACTCAACAACAAACATCCAGGTGCATAGAAATTTAGGGGAACAAATCTGTGATTTGGGGCATTTTTAGGATACGTTGGCGTAGGCTAGAATACTTTAAAGGCACATTTCTCAATCATTCACTCAACAACAAACATCCAGGCAGAGAATTTAGGACCTGAAAACATATCTTGTGTCAATGATTTGGATTTTTCAGGGCAGGCAAGGTTCCCCAATAGGTTAGCTTTACAAGTCATTGTGCAGTGCAGAGAAAAAGTCCTGTCCTTCAAAGTGCTTTATCACAACTAACGGTGTCACATGACAATAGAGGGTTAACATGGCAATACCTCTCACTTCCTGTTGTGTCTCTGGAACAGGAAGTGAAATGAAAGCTGCCCAGTGGGGTGCACACAGCAAAATAGAAGCAAAGAGATGGTTTTCTCCCTGTACTACCTGATCTAAAGCTAAAATAAAGATTCTGCCTGTACTTACACTTTAAACCAGCAGAATACCTCCTCCATCGCCGACCTGTCCACTATACACACACCACTCACCTTCATATTGCCTTCCAATCCTTGTTCATTCCTAGCAAGGGTCACATATCATCAACATAGGGTGAGTCTGTCCAATCATTGAATGTCCTGCAGCCACACCTCCGTAATTCCTGGACACGCCCACGTGGCAGAAGCTTTTCAGGCCATGATTAAATCGGGCAGGCGCCCTCGGTTTTCTATCCCTTTGCCTTTCCTTTCTCCACTAGGCACATTGTTCCTCACATACTTATACAGAGAATATGCAGAGAGCGTGTTGTTTATTAATTACAAAGTGTACTGTATCCGAAGAAAGGATTAGAACAAGTTCTACTTTCTAAGTTGGAAAATGTGCCCAAGTCCAAAATGGCGGCGGGTGAGATCCTTGCCCTGACATCATTAGAAAGCGACACCCCGTGACTGGTTTGGCGGCGGTGGTTATCCCAAGTGCCCCGCCTCCCTACTCTGTGCTTGACAGCCGGGGCTGCAGCCATGGCAGATGAGATCAGAAAGGCTCAGTGTGCCCAGCCTGGGGGAGACACCATCTTCGGGAAGATCATCCGCAAAGAGATTCCGGCCAACATCTTCTATGAGGATGAGCAAGTATGTGGATGGAGGGAGAAGGGGGGACACGTGGAGCTGCCTGTGTCTAGGTGATGGCTGACAGTCCTCTGATTGATGAAGGGGGGGGGGGGGGGGTAATCTGACAGCTGCTGGGTGCAGGCAGTGTCCCTGCCAGCCATGTGTCCGCTCAGTGTGCACCGCTCTGCAAAACATGGGCTCAGCTCTCCTAGCTCTGCAATGATCCACGTGTTTAAAGAGTTACTAAACCCACAACAGTACAATAAGTCTGTATATGCAGTAAAGCATGCTTGTTAGGCTCACTGTGGAACCTAAGGGGTTAATCCTCTGCATTGTGTAAAAAGGCCATTTGATCCTGACTTCTCTGCTCCCCCTCTTGTTCAAATATCCACGAAATAAGACATATTGTGTGGAGTGACACTTCACATGCTCAGTTTAGTGGGTATTGTTAGTTTTTTTTTTTCTTGGGAGAGTGCATGTGATCAGTACAGGGCCAATCGGCACTGTCCAGACAGGTCAGGGGTTTGGAATCCTCCTAGAGCAAAATTAAAACTCCTCCTACAATCTATAACATGTCCTCAGCCGGACACAGAAGTCACAAGACTGCTCTTGAGAAAAGGTATTTAGCAGTTATATTTACTAAAATAATTGCATTTCCATGTTCTGTGGGAGACCAAATATAGTGAATGCAGGGTCCGGGGTTTAGTAACACTTTAATTCTACCTATCATCATACAGTCAGATCATCCTACATACAGAGGAATATGAGGGCTACTGTGAACAAGCTCCTGGAAATGCTAGCTGCTGGGCTGGTACTGACCCTGTGGGTTCCAGGAGATATTAACCCAATGTTTTATTGGTTCTTTGGTATTGCACAGAATGGCCCCAAACCTCATCTTCTGGGTGTCCTCTGCTGGTGCTCTCTGACCCTTCCCTTATGTCTGCAACCATATCAAGTCCCTTTCTATGGGGGAACTGATGGAGGTTCAATCCCAACCCGGGCTGTGTGAGTCCATAGACACGCAATGTGGCTCAGCTCCCCCCCATTCCTTGGTGGATTTGAATGACCAAAGCCAATGATCTCCCACTGCAGCACAAACATCCTGTAAGAAAAAGACAGAGAAGGATTGCTACTGGATTGATACAGGACTCAGGTGTTTAGTGTCGAGGTGGGCACAGAAAGAGGCAACCCCCCCCTTTTTTTCCCCCTTCCCCCCCCCCCCCCCCTCCATTCCTTCCCCCCCCCTCCCTCCCCTCCCTTTTTTTTTCTTCTTTTCTTTTCCCTTTAAAGGGATTTAAAGATTAAAAAAAGCAAATATGTTATACTTGTCTACTCTGAGCAGTAGTTTTGCATAGAATGGACCCCAATCCTTCTCTTCTCCAGTCCCCCACCGGCCCTCCTGCCAAGTGCCCCCACAGCAAGAAGCTTGCTATGGGGAAGCTCAAGCAGGCCTGCTACAGAGCAGCTTTGCATGCCCATTCACACACAGAGCTGCAGCTCGGCCCTCCCCCCCCTTTCCTCATTGGCCCACTGGCTGTGATTGACAGCAGTGGGAGCCAATGACTCCCGCTGCTGTCTGCCAATGAGGAGGGAGAGACCCCATAGAACCGAGGCTCTAGTGCACATCGCTGGATCGTGATTTTTTTACCTTTGTTAAGTCAGGTTAGGTTTGTCCCCAAACAAGATCTTTTAGATGAGATAGTGAGTCCAAATTGACAAAGAAAGGTGCATTTATTACACTCCCCGCACACATGTCCGGTATTCATGGAAAGGTCCCGATCTCTTCTTTCGATCGGGACCTTTCCCGATTATGTGACTGCCGTGACAGCGAATCATGGCGGTTACATGACCCCTAAACCCCGCCCTGCTTCTGAAACCCTTAAAGGGCCGGGAGGCTCTGGCGCCAAGGGGTTAAAACCATGCAAAGCGTTGTGCAGATCCTGTCCTTTTTGCATGGTGCACGCTCTGCTAGTATTAAAACTTTGTTAAAGTTGTTAGCATCTGAAATAAATGGTTCTCTCGTTCTGAGAGGACGTCATATGATGTCCTCCCATTCTCACCGCACATGCGCGGCTCGGAGCGCACAGCGCGGCGATCGGCGGTGCGCTGTGTCCCTCGGACACAGCGGATCACCGATCACGGAAAGAGCCGAAGATGTCGGCTTGGTCATGTGATCAGCTGTGTCCAATCACAGCTGATCACATGTAAACACGGAAATGACGGTTATCGGCATTTCTCTCCTCTCGAGCTGTCACACTGACAGCTCGAGAGGAGAGGAGAGACGGTAATTGGCTTTCCGCGGAGGGGACATCTACACAGATCATCAGGGCACTGATGATCAGTGTAGTCCCAGCAGTGCCAGCTGTCAGTCCATCAGTGCCGATCAGTGCCACATATCAATGCCACATATCAGTGCCCATCTGAGCTGCCTTTCAGTGTCATCCATCAGCGCCAGTTAGTGCCACCTATCAGTGCCGCCTAACAGTGCCAGTGAGTGCCATATATCAGTGCCATGTATCAGTGCTGCCTTTCAGTGCCCATCAGTGATGCCTGTCAATACCTATCAGTGCCACCTTCCAGTGCCTCCTCATCAGTGCCACCTATCAGTGTCCATCAGTGCAGCCTATCAGTGCCCATCACTGCAGCCTCATTAGCGCACATCAGTGAAGGAGAAAAATCACTTCTTTACAAAATTTTATAACAAAAACTAAGAAAAAACTTTTTTAAAAAAAATTTTCAGTGATTTTTTGGTTTGTTTAAGAAAAAATAAACCCAGAGGTGAATAATTACCACCAAAAGAAAGCTCTATCTGTCACAAAAAAATGATAAAAATTTCATATGGGTACAGTGTTGTATGACCGCGCAATTGGCATTCAAAGTGCAACAGCGCTGAAAGCTGGAAATTGGCCTGGGCAGGAAGGGGGTATAAGTGCCCTGTAGGCTAGCGGTTAAAGAGCATATAGAAATAAAAGAGCAAAGATTTATGTAAGTTCTTCCTAAAAGTTGATTATCCTTTGACTGGGCCCTGGGTAGAAAGAGGAAAGGGGGGCAAGCATGGCCAGGCTTGCATTTAAAAGCACTCTGACACTACCCACACAAACACCCTTGACCCGCCTGGTGTAGTCCTCTGTCCAATGAGCGACAGTTCATAACTCATAAGGGGCTGTCCTTCCTACTCATTAGGAAGTATAGTATTGCCCCAGCAATCCTCCCGGAAGTATGTCCTTGTCTCCACCAGGAGGCACTGCTATACTTCCCAAAATGCTATGACACAGGTCAACATTCCAGTTCACATCTGGTTCCTTCCTTCCTTCTTTCTAGAAGTCATACAGTCAGTCATTTTAATATCTGCATCACCAGATAATCTGGGCTGAGGCTCTCTTATCTCCATGCCCCACCGCTAGGGGGTATGTGTGAACTCCCAGGACCAGGATTTTGGTATGCAGCCTTTTGTCACACCTGCCCTGTTTTAAATTCTTGCTTTGACACTCCAAGATCACATCCAACAGGCTAAATGGTTCTTTGATAACCAGGCAGTAAGAATCCATAAATGTCTGATATAAAAACATGTTGCCTTCCAACAGCATCAAACATGATATATGAACAAAGCATATCTCTCTATAGTGTATACTTGTCTTTATCCAGTAGGGATGCACCAAAATTTTTGGTGGCCAAAACGTTCAGGCCGAAAACACACCTATCATTATGAAAATAAGCACTGATACAGGTACTGAAAATAACCCTGCCCCTTGGCGCCCGCTGCCACCACCTGCCGCCTCTCAGTAGGGGTGCACCAAAATTTTGGTGGCCGAAACGTTTTGGCTGAAAACACCCCTATCTGCCGTTGGCCGATATGGAAAAAAAGCACCGATACAGGTGCCGAAAAAACCCCGCCGCTGCCGCTCTGTAGTTCTCAGCCTCACCCGAGAAGCCATCTAATGATCCCGGCGCTGGGCATAGAGATTAGTGAAGGAAAGATGGCCTCCACTCACCTCTATGCCCTTGGAGGACTGGAGCGATGTCCCTTCCAATTCTGGCCAATTTTTTTTTTTTTTTTAAAGCACTAGATCATTGCTTTTTTTGATCCAATGCTTTACATTGCAGAGGAGAGATGTGGGATCTTATGACCCCATATCTCTCCATAAAGAGGACCTGTCACTAATTATATCTATCACAAGGGATGCATGCATTCCTTGTGATAATAAAAATGATTAACATTTTTTTTAAAGGGACAGTGAAAAAAACCCCAAACAAACATAAAAAAAAAAAAAAGTTAAAGTGCCTCCGTCCCCCCGTGCTAACGGATAACAGCCCAGAGGCAGCGAGTTCAGGAATTAGCAGCCCACACTTTCAAAAGTATATTTACCAGACCAAAAAGGGAGCAAAAAAAAGAGAAATTTATTTCTAGAATTTACACATTTTTATGGCTCATTCACATCATTGGGGAAATCCAGTTAGTTACGACCAACACTCTTCTGGCAGTATGGCCTTTTTAAAATGTCCTGCATCGGATTCAAGAATCCCTGCCACCTGTGTTAGTAGCTTTACAGACGTGTGGCAAATTGAGGTAGTTCTTAATAGCACCACTTTTACAAAATGGCTCTATTCATGCAACAAATTAAATAATTGCCTCCAGTTCATGTAAAATGAAACTGAATGCAATTAAGATCATCTATGACTTCACATACAGAGACAGGCAGAGTGCCTGTCCCTGTACACAGTGTAGCAGGAAGCATATTTGCTGGCACAACCCTCTTCCTGTCAGTGGTTGTTAGAGTATCTAATATCATATTTTAATCATTTTTAAAAATTAAAAGTCGGCAACTACAAAACTGTAGCTGCTGACTTTTAATAAACAACCAATCGCGTGTCCCGGGATCCAGTGCTGCGCTCACCTCAGCCGTTTTATCCACCTTTATTCGGTCCTAGGCACCAGCACCTTAAATGTGGGCACGTGGCTGCGACAGCTTCTGGCTTCACATCTGGCTGCCCACTGCGCATTTACGAGCCGCACTGCACAT